TCTTCCTCTCCTTCTCGCTTTTTCTCTCAACACCTTTCCCTCGACCCGTTTGCCTACCCCAAACTCCTCAAACTACATCGGAGAGGTCATTCCCCTGAAGTCTATCACAGTGACTTCCCAAGTACTTGAAGCTTGGAGCAAACAACTTCATAAGATGCAACCCTTGAAGTAACCCTCAGAGAGTTTCATACTGCGCCGTTCCTGATGACACACAAAAAATGGAGCAAATAAACCTACATCTTTCACTTTGGGTGGTCGATACGGCTCAGTTTGCCAATAGCCATAGACGTCCAAATATCGCTGCTCACGTTCTTCAGCCGGAACACGAATGTTCGGCCTGGCCTTGACCACTTTATAAGGCTTCTCTCCTTCCTTCAAATAAGTGGTTATGTCGAAGCGACAGACAAGCTGCATGAAAAGAATGGAGTACCTTTACACTTCTAGCCTGTTTGATCCAATTATTAGCACCCTGAAGGGTGTGAACGCAGGATCGAGGATAAACTTTATGACCACGAACTTCTCCCAGGGGTTTCTGATCTTCTGGCCTTGGGTATATTGCTTCAAACTTCAAAAGATCCTTCTCCAGAACATATCTATGAAAAGAAGGTCATTTTAAATGAATTTCGAAAGTGTCCTCACCTATCACTTACAAAGGGTGATTTTTATATTCCGAAAGAGTAGTTGGTAGCGGTTTCTTGACAAGCTCTTTTTTGAAATGGTTATCTTCCAATCTGGCTCTCTTACGGTCGGCTCGAATCATCTCAAAAAATTCAAACTCGACAGGAAAAATACTGATTCTTTTGCAAACTCTTGATCAAACCCTTTTATAGAAGAACCACGAAAAAAGTATGTATCTTTACCTTCTTTCTCAAGGTGCGATCAATCCAATCTGGATCAGTCCGACGGCGGCGGAAACTTTACCTTCTTTCTCAAGGTGCGATCAATCCAATCTGGATCAGTCCGACGGCGGCGGAAATCCGGGCGGGAATAGTCGGCTGCATACCGAGCGGTAACGTCACGCACACCACCTTCTGCAAAAAAGGGTTTTTGCTTTGGTTTTCCGCCAGTTTCGGTTAATCTGCTTCATTTTTCAATAAATTACCATTATCAATAGCTAAAACGTAAACGATCGGCTTCGTGGCATTCTCCTCGATAGCATTTGGTTCATCGACAGCTGCGCGAAGTGGATCAACACCTTAATGAAAATCTCACAGTCAACGTCATAGAAATCTAGTAGCTATGGCCTTAAAAGTTCTAATCAATGCTCACATATCCATCGCTTCTGTTTCTTGTCCCAGAACTCAACCCAATAATTTCGCGTCATTTTTTGATAATCAGCTCCACTCGAGTTCTTCTTCTTCGATGCGCCTTTACTCTTTTGATCCGCCTCCGCTACGATGGAGGGCGACGAAAAACCCTTCCTCATTTTCTCGATATTCTCCAATACACTCTAGAAATTCGATCCTCCTTCGGGAAACAATTACTTCAACAATTTCAATTATGAACGTGCCTCATCCCACTTTCTCGGAATTGGCTGCGTGTTGACACAAATGCGTGTGGTACAGCCCAGAGACAGAAAAAGACCGAACAGTAACTGAAATCGTTTTTGAAATTATTGGCATTATCGAAGAGTGAGAACCTTGCTATATTATTTATCATTACTACCAAGGGAAAACACTAGAAGGCTTTAAAAGGTCTTATTATTCCGATCAAGATGTGTACTATAGTATGGGGTTTAAGAACTTCAACTAACATCCGATTAATGGCTGAGCACTACTCCAACCCAAGCTATAATCCTTCCCCAACGTCATATATTTTGTGAACCCTGATTGTGTGACTTTATTAATCTTAATAAGATCAGTCATTCTGTCCCGGACGAATGGTGCCGTAGTAGTGCCGCCGACTGGATGTAACGACCACAGAGATCCAGTATTTCCTCTTAATTACTTTGGACATTTAGGTTGATTTTACCAACCATGTAATATAGCAATACTATAAAACATTGTAGGGAGGTCACAAATGGTTTATCCTGATTTCATGCCTCCACTTACACATTTACGCAAGCCAGTATTTCTCAGAGCTGATCATGAGGCAAAATTACACTCGGAAAAACACGAAGGCAGAGGGGCAGTGTGGGTTCTGAATAAGAGAGCATAGCTCCAAAAATAAGAATTCAGTTCAGTTTTACCTCATTGTCAACTACGGTAAGAAACATGATCATGGCCAGATAGAAAAACATGTAGAAAAAAAAAACTTTCTTATTTTGTGTCACAGTACTCCTTGACTGGTAGTGTTTTGTGGATTTTCGAATGAAAGGGAGAATACGACCGAGGTGCTTGAGTTATCAAAGAGGTTCACAATATTCATTTCACTTTCAGGCACAGCGCCTATCCCTACCGACTTTCCATTCCCCTATTCCTCTTGAGCAAATAAAGGCCGCAAAACAACTTGTTTGGTTGCGACACAATGGCAGTTAAACGTTTTAATGGAAAAACAACTCACAACAGCCCGATCTACGTCTTTGTTGTATACTTTCAGTGAAACCATCTCTTCAATGGTGTATTGGCAGTCCGGCTTATCACAGGCCTTCAAAAACTTTTCTTTCTCCAATTTCTCAAACAGAAAACGAATTTGGCAAAAGTATGCTCAACAGACTGGCCTTGAAAGTGCTCTTGTAATGCTCCACGACTTTCGATGCAATTTCAACCGACATCGTTCTGCCGCAAACACTTTCACATTCAGGTGGAATCTATAAATATTCAGAATGGCTTGTTTCCTAGGCGGAGGAATATATTATTATGAATGGTTTTTCAAGCCTATTGATTGTGCCTTATCATAGAACCTGAGGGCATACGTCCAAGGTTAACCATCATTAACTTGAGTTTAAGCAAAAATGAATGCCACATCACTACACCTCCGAAAAGTGGTGGTTTAGTGGAGACTGTAGGGTGGTAGCATAGCACATAATGCTACTCCAGGCCTTCACGACTAAGTAGCCGTGTAACAACAAAAAGCGCTAACTTGCGTGAGAACAAAAAGCTTCACCAACAGAAAAAGCTGAAATTTCACCAACCGTGCTTAACATTAATGCAGACACAGAATTATTTTCTAGTACGTCCTTCCTCAGATACTGAAGATGGGCAATGTAGCAAAGAATATTAACCTAGAAACGAATTTTGAGCCAAACGGTAGTATTATACATATAATACACATTTTTGGAAAATATCTTCAACACACCCTTAGTAAATATACCGTACCCTATGGCAATTTTCCCAATTCTCTCTAACGCATCTATTCACTTCACGTCGCAGCCATAGTGATTCGAAATTCCTTTCATCCGAGCCTTCGACCGTTACTTCAACGTCCTGAAATCCTATGTTGGTCAATGGACTTCATGACATGATTTTTTCAAGGCAACCATGTAAGATGATAGGGTTTATTTCCAATCAGGCAATAATCTCTTTATACATGGAGATGCAGACCAAAGAGCTAACAGTGAGCAAAAAAAAGACATCGTGTTATTAATCGATTAAGTACCTTAAAGAACGTGTAAACAGTAAAAGGTGGAGTTCGCACAAGAGCAGAAGTGATTGCTGTGCTGTGGTGGATGTTCAGTAGTTTTTGGTGCTTGAGAGGAAGTGCGCTGGTAGCTGAAACTTGCTGGGACGGCCAATTCAACTCCAGGTCAATGGACTGAGACAACGAAATCGATTTATTCTATTCACTCAAGGTGTACTTATAAAAACTCCCTCCACTTTTCTTGTTGCCTTATTTACCGTACTCACTATTTTCAAAAAGATTCAATAAGACGGAGAGAAAGAATGGTCACCTTTTTCTTTCCCTCTCCGACTTCGACAAGCTCCATCTCCTCCCATTCATCTTCCGAAGACGAGGCTGAAGTGGGACAGAACCGATGTACTGACAGATGACGGCAAGCAAAACTCCGAAACTTCAGTATGCATCGCCTCCATTACGTCATAAAATACCGGAACACGTATCCTTATCTACTCTTAGATACCCCGGTAACACTTAGTGGATGGAAGGGCAAATATTGTGTCCTTAATCTAACCTGCATATGGAAGGATTACTTATTACTGCAATATAAGCAAAGTGCACGCACCATATTCGTCCATTTCCTCAGTATTCTGCACCGCCACGGGGGCGGCACTCCTCGACTCGCATAACATTCTCAATTCCCGTATAGCTTGATTTGCCTCTTCTAGACTTATTTCCAGGTTTCTACCAATAGCAACGGCAGCAGCGTAAATTCTAGAAAGCAAAAATTATTTGTAGAAGACCTTGTGGTCCTGGTAACAGTATTCAACATGCTGCAGTCATGCAGGTAGAAATCCATCATCCATCACTATTTTAAAATGAAACAAAGGGAAAATTGAGAGGAGTTTATCTTGAAGTAACACGAATGAAATGCTCACCGGAATTTCTCCTCTATCACTTCAGCGGGGCTGAGGTCTTTTGGAAGAGCTGCGATCTCATTTCGCACGCTTGGCAGTGCAAAGACGTCTGGTCGTACTAGAGGTTTGTTACGTTCCTGCCGAGTTTCTTGTAGCTCCGGATTAGACGAAGAAGCAGGCTCAGCTCCCGGTGTGGCCTCAGAACCTGAACATAGGGAAAACATAGCTAGCAAGATGTCATACTAGAAAAATGCGGAAGCGGTTGCCTTTCCAGTACAACGAAGATACGTACGTTGCTTCCTGAAATGATACAAGTGAGGAAAGAGAAAAAAAGCATAATGACTCGCACTCCATTCTCCAGCAGATGCATTACAGGATCTATAAACCGTCGCTCGCAGCTACTTCAACAGTGGGTATGGGGCTGAAGGATCGAAATTGTCGCGTCGCGGCGAGAGGGACGCCGCGCGCGAAGGATTTTCGCAGAATGCAACGCCAAAAATAATAATCGCATATCGATCGAGCTGTATGAAGAACGCTAGATCTGCAATAACGAGTCAACTAGCACGTGACTGCCGCGTGCGGCGAATATTACCTCAAACCGATTCAAGTGTTCATCTGACCCACACACTCATAGTGCCAATCGATTGGAAAAAGGAACGCAACAAGATGCGCTCCCCTCCGCGCTTTCGTCGAAACTAAGTTACGGTGCAACGCGGGCTGACCCGTCGCATGCGGCGGGTCAGCCCGCGATACTTGACAGACGTCGCAGTTGTAAGTGGGGCACGCGCTTTGCGTCCTCTGACATTCGCTCCTCTGACACTTGGTAGTCTGAAGTGTCATTTCGAGACCTCAGTGGGCTGCGCCGTTGGAGGAGTGTCTTAGTTTCGAAGGACGCGCGGAACGCACGTTCCCAAACGCAACCGCCTGTGCCATTGACTGAAACAATTATAATGGAAAAGAATACCAAAGTCTTTGCCCAAACTCTCTGTTTGGCTTATATACATTTGCCATAGTCGCTGAAATGCAACAACATCGAGTCCACAAGTGATCATGGCAACATGAAGTCGATTACAACCCTGAAGCTAGCAGTTCGTAATACGGTATGCAAGAGTATACACTATTATAAAACTAACACAGCTAAAGTGAGAGAGTTTCAATCAGGGAACGAAATCCCAGACAACCAGTTGAAGTTGGCGATTACCGTGGAGTTTTCAGAATATTCAGGGTATTTGAGAGGGCCAGGGTTCCAGTGAGTCTACGACCTCTTTTTGAGATGTTGCTAAGCATTTGTTTCCATTTCAAATCACGGTTTTCAAGTGTCAAAATGAATCTGGACTATCTGGTCTATGTATCTGGTCTACAGTGCTTTGACCAGTTTTACTATGTGCAAGTAGAGGGTATTTTTCTTTTTCGACGGTGAATTTCACTGCTTTTCGGACGTAGCAAGACTGTCGGGATCGGATGGGTATCACTATGGTTCGGATCTTGGATAATGGTGCTTAAGCTCAACTCTTTCTGAACATCTTAGACCTACCAATGAACCAAATTAGGTAATGGGCAAGGGTAATTGTATTAGACATGATATTTGGAAGCCTCAGAAAGATATTCGGGAAACGTATTTTTTGACAAACCTAATTTAGCACAACAGTTAAGCCCTTGTCACATCTTCTCTCTTTGAGGCTAAACAAGGGATAGCTTACTTAAAGGCACTGTGAACAAAAAAGTAAGGGTACCCTTTTTTTGATGGGAATAGATAGAACTACTCTAGAATAAAGCGATAACAACGAAAAAGCGCAAAAAAACGAGGAACAAAAAGAATTACAAAGGGACAAAAAAAGAGCTGGAAAGAGGGGGTGGACGAATTTCACATTGAAAAAACTGCGGTTAGGGAGTGTTCGAGCGAGAATGCACGAAGGCGGCGCA